AAAAGGTGCTTGTTGAGTACGCATGCTCGTTCTTGCAAAGCATGCTCTTGCAGGGGTACATGTATGTTACAGAAGGACACATCTGCTTCTACGCCTACCTTCCTCGGAAGTCCACCGTCGCCATCAAGTCCGGATACGTCTACAAACGGGGCCGGAAGAATCCCAAGTACAATCGGTATTGGTTTTCGCTGAAAGGGGATGTTCTCTCATACTATGCAGACCCCTCGAAACTCTACTTTCCCAGCGGCCATGTAGATCTCCGTTACGGGATTTCGGCTTCTTTGGCTGAGCCAAAAGACAAAGGGCGGGAAGTTAAAGACTTCCAGGTCACCACCGACCAGCGAACATATTACTTTAGGGCCGATAGCTCCTCGAGCGCCAAAGAGTGGGTCAAGGCTCTGCAGAAGGTCATATTTCGCACCCACAACGACAAAGGCAGCGTCAAGATCTCCTTCCCCATTGAAAGCGTCATCGATATCGAAGAGAGCCCCATGGTAGACTTTGCGGAAACTTTTAAAATTCGCGTGGTGGAGAGTGAAGAGACCTACGCCATCGATGAGGTACGTGCCCGACTTTGGCCTTCCATGCTCACTGCTGACTATACTGCAGTACTATTTCACGTTTTTCAATGACGGCCAGGATGCATTCAACTTCCTAAGAGGTCTCGTTGCTGACACGCCTATGAAGCGGTCACAATTGACCTTATCACCACAGCCTGAGCAGACGTCTCGCTCTCGCCGTAATCGGGCCTCCCAGAATAGGTGGTCGATCACCAGCGGGACAAGCCAATCTCGGGGCATTGGAAAGTCTGGCAATCGACGACGAAGCGCAAGCACAGGGCAGTTCAGTTTCGGGCAGGATGCCTTGAGCATGTCTCCGCCTATGAGACAGCAGGACTCATCTCTGTCCTTCGGAAACTCCTTTGAGCAGGCAACTGAGGCATCTGGTATTCTGCAGTCCATGACAGATACCACCGAATCTGCCAGCCAAATATTGAACCGAAGCGATGTTTTTCAGTCGCCTATGATTCGTACAATGAGACGAGGTCCTTCGGGCGCTGAGAAGACTGTTCGTCGGCACTCGGATGAGACAGCGCGGTCGGTGCATACGACCAGGAATGGGCCTGAGATACAGTACGCCGTGAGCGAGTCCGACCGTGATACTCAGACTCCTACCGGACTTCACCCTTCCACTTCGGCACTGAATGAGCTTGCTCGGGCAGGGGTGTATCCTTTGCAGCGCGCAGCAGGATTCGCCGAGTACTTGAAGACACGATCGAAGCAGATGAGCAACTTGCTGGCGAGTGAATCTATGGGCTATCTCGAGAAGGTTTCTGGGATGTGGGCCGGTGGCGGCAAACATTACGGAGAATCCGAGAATATACTCGCGGATGACCAGGCTGTTGATCCCGAAGACCTCGAGGCTGGTTGCAAGGACGGTGACCGATTCCGTGAACACTTTGCCCTTCCACCAAGTGAGAAGTTGCAGGCATCGTACTTTGCGTGGCTACATCGGATGATCCCACTGTACGGCAAGATCTATATTAGCCAGAAAAAGCTGTGCTTTCGCAGTCTCATGCCCGGGACCCGTACGAAGATGATCCTTCCGCTCAAGGATGTGGAAAATGTGGACAAGGAAAAAGGATTCAACTTTGGCCGCCATGGGCTTGTTGTCGTCATTCGAGGGCACGAAGAGTTATTTTTCGAGTTTGGCACAGCTGAGATCCGAGATGATTGCGCTGTCACGCTGCACAAAGGGCTTGAGTCTACGAAGTTCTTGATGGCGTCCGGACTACTTGCAGAGTGTGAGGAGAAGGATGAGTCTGAATCCGCCAGAGCAGAGCACCGTTTGCTACAGGAAGCCAGGCTGGATATCACTGGCATGCACAGTTCCCGCTCGGCGATGACTGAATCCAACGAATTGCATCCCATCTTTGATGACCCTCGCGCCTCCATCATCAACTTCAAGCCTACCGAATCTTTGAGGATTACGTGTCTTACAATAGGCTCTCGTGGAGACGTGCAACCGTACATTGCCCTGTGTAAGGGTCTTCTTGCCGAAGGGCATAGGCCCAAAATTGCAACTCACGCGGAGTTTGAACCTTGGGTGAGAAAGCATGGCATTGACTTTGCGCTAGTCGACGGAGACCCAGCGGAACTTATGCGGATATGTGTAGAGAACGGAATGTTCACCTACTCGTTCTTCAAAGAGGCAACAGCGAAGTTTCGAGGCTGGATTGACGATTTGCTGTCCTCTGCGTGGAAAGCTTGCCAGGACACCGACCTCCTCATTGAATCTCCAAGCGCGATGGCTGGAATTCACATCGCCGAGGCACTCCGGATTCCGTACTTCCGCGCCTTTACAATGCCTTGGTCAAGGACACGCGCATATCCCCATGCATTTGCCGTTCCTGAGCACAAGATGGGCGGTGCATACAACTACATCACCTACGTCATGTTTGACAACGTCTTCTGGAAGTCGGTTGCAGGTCAGGTGAACCGCTGGCGGAAGAAAGAGCTGGGCTTGAAGGCCACCGGCCTGGATAAGATGCAGCCGAATAAGGTTCCATTCCTCTACAACTACTCGCCCACCGTGGTGCCGCCGCCGTTGGACTATCCAGACTGGATTCGCATCACCGGGTACTGGTTTCTTAGTGAGGGTTCTAACTGGACTCCTCCAGCGGAACTGGTCGACTTTATCCAACGTGCTCGCAAGGATGACAAGAAGGTTGTATACATCGGGTTCGGGTCAATTGTTGTGTCCGATCCTTCCGCTCTCACACGCACCGTCATCGAATCTGTCCAGAAGGCCGATGTCCGCTGCATCCTGTCCAAGGGCTGGTCTGATCGTCTAGGAGACCCGGCTAGTGCCAAGTCAGAGGTCCCTCTGCCGCCAGAAATCATCCAGATTCAATCGGCACCCCATGACTGGCTCTTCTCGCAGATCGATGCCGCCGCGCACCATGGCGGCGCTGGAACTACTGGGGCAAGTCTGCGTGCCGGGGTCCCCACCATTGTCAAGCCGTTCTTTGGCGACCAGTTCTTCTTTGGAACGCGAGTTGAAGACTTGGGCGTGGGCATCTGTTTGAAGAAGCTGAACGTGACGATGTTCTCTCGGGCTTTATGGGAGGCTACCCATGACGAGCGTATGATCGTTAAAGCCCACAAGTTAGGAGCGCAGATCCGAAGTGTAAGTCGTATGTATTCTAATCATATTGCCCTGCTAATGATTGAACAGGAGGACGGGGTGGATACGGCTATTCAAGCGATCTACCGTGATTTAGAGTACGCCAAAACCCTGGCTCAAGCGCGCTCCAATGTATCCTCGACGCCGTTCTCGCCCACACCTTCGGCGAAGACGGTGGCAGAACAGGAAGCGGACGAGGACGTACCCGAGGAGGAGTGGACAATTGTCGAGGACGATACCGAGTTGGACATGAGGCCGACTGTCGCCTGATGTGGATAATATGATAGCTTGTTGACGGACTCGAAGCGAAGCATTAACTGCTAATTGACGAGATTTTCCGTCGTATGACTTACGAATTGTGGCATTTGCTCTGTTCGATGATATATGGTTTTAATATTGCTTTCGATTCGACTTTCCCACTCTGGGATTACATGGGTCTGGTTTGAGAAACATATGCTGCGATTGATGATTTACGAGATGCACAGCTGCTGGCATGACCTAATATATTTCTATTTGCTGTTGAGCTAGTGTTTGGATGAGCGTGCGAGGGTCTACATGTTTATTTTCGGCGATCATAGATCATATAATGGCACGGCGCATTGCAGATATCTATTGAAGATCTACCGTTGTTCATAGTAACTTATCATCATGTAGACTTTTATTTTCAATGCCTGCTTTTGACACTAAATACATACAAAAGGGTAGTCGGAGACAAAACCAGAAACAACACAAAAACAGTACATTAAAAAGTATCATATCATATCTCTCTAAAAAATGATAATCAAGCAGCCTTCTCCGTTTCCTCATCACCCTTACCTTCAGCTTTTTCTTTCCGTCTCTGCACCACATCCCAATTATAAACTCTCGCCGTCGCAACCTCCAGCGTCTACACAAACACAAACCATTAGCCCCGGCCCAAACCCAAACCCAAAAATGGAATAGAATAAACATACCGTAATCTGCTCCCTCAAAAACTCCAAATCCTCCTCACAATTGCCCAGACTCTTCTGCGCCGCCGCCAACTTCTCATCCAACATGCTCTCCGCCTCCTCAATCGGGTACGCAAGCATGACATTCGCTCCGAGCCAAAGGTACACTTCCTCGGTGTCCGCGGGCGAGACCGTCGCGCGAGCGTACAATGTATCGTTCAATTCGAAGTTGGTTTCGAGTGCCGAGGCACTTGCATTTTCTCTTCTGAGTTTCAGGAATCGCACCATCTCCAATGTCTTCTTGATGTCGGGGATCTTGTCGCGTAGACCCTGGGCCCGGCGCTGCGTGTTGACTTCCATGAATTGGTACTTCGAGATCATCTCTTGGAAGGACCGTAGCGTCGGTTCCACTTCGCTTCGTGAGGATACGTAGTCGGCTACATTGTCGACGAAGGGCGCGGCGGGGATCCCGCGCGGGTTGGTGGGGGGTGTTACTCTGGTTTGATGGTCCCCGGGGGAAGGGGGGAGGGTTAGTGGTGGTTCTCTTAGGGGGGTGGGTGTTTGTGGTTTGGGGATATTTGGGCTGGGATGGTGGAGAGGGGAGGGGTTGTTGTGGTGGTTGTGTGGAATAAGAAGGGTGATTTTTGCTGTACGGGATGTGGACTACTCACGAGGAAGTCTTCTTGTCTGCCATGGTGACAGACAGGTCGGAGTATATAAGATAGAAAGAGGGGGAGGGCGGAAGGTAAAGAGATGCACTGCAGGCCGCGGAGGAGAGAGAGAGCGAGGAATAATGATAATGATGGAGTGGGGGAGTTGATTGCCTGTTCGGGAATGGTGTCATCTGCGGCGATCTTCATCATCATCAACATACAATCTACAACTATTCTTACTTTCTCTTAATCAACTTCACCTCGCACAAATATACAAACAACATGTTATAAAGATATATAACATCTCCGCAATGGTCCTCCTAACAACAACACCCTCCATTCTCTCCGCCATCGAGGCCCTCCCTTCTACCTCGCGACATGACTTCTCCCTCCCCGATACCTTGAATCTAGAGGACCCGATTTCCCACGACCAATTAATCAAGATAGCTCGATACTTCCGACAAAAACCTACCACAGACTCTTCACCTTCTACTGATGGAAGCAAAACCCTGAACTCCCTCCTCCGCGGAACAAAAGTCTACGTCCCTCCTCCGCCCAAGAAACCCGAGCCGGTAAGCACCTATCTTCAACACTTACCTCCCCCCAACACTATACACAAAACAAGACTAACTAGACTGACATACACAGTCACCTGAATATCTCGCCCTCAAAGCGCGCCTTCTCGCCGCCGCCGAAACAGACGCCTACAACCGCATGACCTCCTCCTCATCCTTCACCTCACCCGGTTTCTTCCCTACATCCTCCAGAACCCCAGCAGCAACGAAACCCTCAATCTTCACCTCCTCAACACCCACCCTCGAAGCACTACACAACAGGCATAATCCCAACAATGATGATGACAATGACGCAGACCCCCTCACTCCCGGCCTCGTGCTCAACATCTTCCTCTCCGTCCTGATCACCGGGTTCAGCGTGTACTGGGCGCTGCGGAGTTTCCGGTCCCCGGAGATGCTGGTGTCTACTGTGGCGAGGGTGTGGAGGGGGAAGGGGACAGGACAGGGGGTCTCGGAGTCGGTAAAGGTGTTGGTGTCGTTGGCGGCGGCGGTGGTGGTGGGCGTGGCGGAGGTGATGATTTATGCGATTTATTTGAGGAAGGTGGAGGTTGCGAGGGGGAGGGAGAGGAGGGTGAAGGAGAGGAAGGTGGTTGTGGGGAGTGAGAGGGTTGGTGGGGGGATGAGTAGGGAGGGTGGTGAGGGTGGAGGTAATGGGCAGAGGGTTGGGGAGGGGGATAGGGAGGAGGAGGTTATTTGGGGTAGAGGGGTGAATGGAGGGTTGAGGAGGAGGGTGAGGGAGAAGTGGGAGGAGAAAGAGAAGGATATGGATGCGGATAAGAATCAGCAGAGGGATAAGAGTGAGTGAAGAGCGTATGCTGTTAGGGTTGACGGTGTACTATTATATGTAGTATATATTACTGTATAATGACAATGATGGACATATGCACTATGGTTGGTAAGATTGTATCAATAAGAATCTGTGCTAACTACTTCTCAAGCAATATCAATCATCCTCTCGCTCAAGCTCAGCAACTCTCTCCATAGCATCATCCCCCATATTCCCCGAAAACTCCCTGAACATCAAATTAGCCTCGCAGTATTCTGGATCCTCGAAAGTCGTATTAAGCCACTTCAGCATATCCTCCCACGCCTTGGGCATAACACACTCGGTTATCAGCGGCTCGCCAGATGAATAGCAGTTGCACCCATGATGCTCAGGAGCAGGGACAGGCAGCCCGAGATCCTGTTCCGACAGAATATACCCACGGCAACGCGAAGAGACGAAGCTCACAAACGATGAGGGGTCCTTAGAATCTTTACCATCCTTGTCTCCGAAGTCAACGCCAATCCGGTGAAAAGGATTGGTGAGACAGATTGCTGATATATATGGACGCCATGCTTCCCCTGTCACTTGTTAGCCAGATACCAGACAACCAACCACCCATAAACCTTGAAGCAAGAAAATTAAACCTACAATTACCCCCCAAGTACCGAATAACACCCAGCCCCCCATCATCCAACCCGACCACTCCAATCTTCGCATCAGCCCTAACCAGCCGACCCCGAGCAGCCAAGATCTCCTCAAACACATACTGAATATGTTCCTGCCAGTCACCATTCCCAGGGATCTTGTTCCGACGAGTCATCACCAGCGGCGGATCTACCGCCGACTTTCGAGGAACGCAATGCCAGGATGTCAGTGTCATCGCTTGACCAGAGCCACAATGCCACACCAACTGCCCGGTGTTTGCCAGGACAAGAGCCGTGTCTTTCTGATCCAGAACAGCCCGCGCAAATGCAACAGCCGACCCGACTTCAATCCCATCGCTGCTGAGAGTCCGGTAAGCCCAGATGCCGAGGTCCTGTATAGGCTCTCCGAAGACAACTATGACGCGGGAGGCAGTGGACAGGTTCTTGGAGATGAGAATAGGCACATGCGCATCGGTAGGTCGGGCTGTAAGTGGGAGCCGTAGAGTGATGAGCCCGAGGCTGCGAAGACGGGCGAGGACGATGTTGCGAATGCATGCTATATAGTGGTTAGAATACGAAGAATAATGTTTTTCCTTTTCTGAAGGCATAGGCATACTGTTCATCGCCTCTCGCTGCATCTCATTCCAGCGCGCGTTCCTGTTGATCTTGAACTGGAACTCTTCTTTTGGCGCGGAGATCTTTCGGATCTGGTCATCTTCGGTGATGAAGTACCTGGCTTTGGTTAGTAGATGGACTGGCTTCTATCTATCTCAGTCCCTCTTACCCCAGTTTCTCCAGATCCGCGGGGAATACAGGTTCTGCAGGGAGGTCCTTTCGGCTGAAGACGAACATTCTGGCGAGTGTAGTTCGACGATGACGAGAGAACGAGCGTGTGAGTAACAGTGAGTGTATTCAGCAAGAGAGAGAAATGAGATATGGAGACAAAAGACAACAGATCTAGAATAAAAGCAACGGCAAGAGCAAACAGAAGAACCAGAAAGAAACTGCAACTTCCCCCAGCCAATGCCAGTGAATTTCAAGTGAAGCCAAGTGCAGGCGTTTGTCAATGCATAGCTTACTTAGTACTTTATGTAACATCCGCCCTTCACTGCGCAGACCAATCGACAAGATCCGATGGTGTCACATACAGCCATGGATGATGCCGAACAGAATCCCCGTAAATAGCCACACCACTGCAACTCCCCTCTCTGGGAGTACTGTAGATCAAAAACCATCTCAACTGAGCACAAAAACCCAAGACGATGAAAAGGCATATCTCATTCCTCCTCATCATCTAATCAAACCTAATATACAAGTCCTCCGACCAACACAAGGAAACGGAGGAAAGTTGAAAACAAACGCCTTTCAGGAAGAACCCGCCGAACCCAATGAAAGCTATCACAAATATATGTATTCTTTTCGCATAAATTTCCCATACTAGTAATTTACCAACTGGCCTTCTTCACACCGGGGAGTTCACCGGCCAGCGCCTGCTGACGGAATTGGTACTGCGCACACACACCAGACATTAGCACTGACCCAATCAGACACCCGTTCCATAGGGATAAACATACTCTACCAAGTCTAAACGCCCGAATAACACTGCGAGGAACACCACCCGCCACACAGCGGTTCTTGATCTGCGTCGAGCGAGTGTAGGCGTGCATGGAAGCGAGCTGGAGCTGAGCCTGGGCGCGCACACGCTGGGGGAGGGAAGTGTTGTGGATCACGTAGCGGAGAGCTTGACTATTATCCAGAAGATAGCAATTAGTAGCTGTTTAGCTGGTTTCATTGACCTTTGGGGTATGGGTTGCAATTACCGTTCCGGCTCGAATTGCTCGAAAACCTTCCGCTTGGTGTGGTCGCGGACAACACGGGGGTTGATGAACCCGCCGAGGTCGAGGATCTTGGACCGGAAGTGCGACATGTTGACCTGGTGAAAGGGGGTTTCCTGGCGCTGATTTGGCTCGAATGCGATTTGGGGATGGATTTGATGGCCGGAGGTTTTGGCCGGAGCGGCGAAAGTCACGGGAGTCGGGATGCGGATTGCCTGTTTGGGTTAGGGGCATCTGTCTCTTTTTACCCGGATGGGAGGAGGATTTTGTCGGATATACAGAGTATGAGGGTATTCTTGTAATGCAGGAATTGAATAATTTATATTATGATGTGCTATATATTGATTCCATTTTTGGATAGTGTGGTTTGATTTTGGCGAGGTGATGGAAAGTATCATTGATATCTTGTGTCTTGACCGTGCAACGTACGTACAATATCAAAATCTAGGCCTACTTCGAAGCTCTGTACGCACTACCCTAGAGGCAGAATGGACAGTAAAGGAATTATGCTTAACATTTCAGCAGTAGAGCTCAGCCTGTAATTGCACCCCATAAGCATAGCGACTCGTTATAACCATTTCCAATGGCCATCCTCAGCTAGCAGACCAACCTATACATCCAATACTCTAAGTGCACACTAAGACCTGCAGCCCGCCATACTACGTCTATGCAACTAGTCCAATCTCCCACAGTGGCCGTATCCACCAGGTTCCTACATATCAGTCTTCCAGCGATGCCCTCCGGCTCCGCACACCTCCGAGCAAAACACCACCACCATCAAGCGGAGAAATAGGTATACAACATATCAATTGGCAAATGTCGTATGACGGTATCTTCTATAAGCTTATACACAGTAAATGCCCGCAAACTCGACTGACCGACGAACCCGCAGCAACCGGGGCTCTCAAACCACCCACACAAGCCACGCATTCATCCGCCATATCCGCGTGCTCGGAAATTCATCCAGAGCTAATTTAATGCTTCTGGTTCTTGAGGTTGGGGTTGCGGGGGTCGTTCTTGAACTCGGCGGCTAAGGGGTAACAACCGAGGTTAGCATGCACGATTCGGTTCGAAAGAACAAGGGATTCGGTGTTGGATTCAAGCGGACGCTTGATAACGTGCTGGTATTGAGAATGTCGTGACAGGTTCACTTACTCGACATCATGACGTTGGCGAAAGAGTTGACACCGTAGAGGATGACCAGACCTGTAATTCGAAACACCGTTAGAAAGCCGCCATTACCCCTCTCTCTCAACGCGCTTCAATGGAGCTATTCCGTCATATTCGCATAGCTATCCAGGCTAGACATAGCCATTCAACAAGGTAATAGGAGTGCATGCATACCGGCGGCGAAGAAGGGAGCCATGGGCTTGGCTAAATGAGCAAAGCAGGTCAGTTCATATCCTCAACTCTCGAACACCAACATGGGCGCGCCAGGCTCACGGCAAACGTACCAACGGGGGTGGGGAACTTCTTTCCGAGGAGAGACATGGTGGGCAGATCGTTTGATTGAAAGCGAAGTGCTAGGTATGGAGGAAAGACGGGAGTTGGAGCAGCTGGTGAAGGAGCGACGAGGACGAGAGCGGGTACAACGAGGTTTGTCCGGGAGTCCGAATCCCCGGCCGCTTTAACGCTTCGGGAAGGATTTGCCGCGCCGCTTTTACTGCGGCGTCTATCGCTGGTTGCCCCTCCGCAGTAAACAATCAACAATCACGATAACGATTAATCAAGACAATACACAACACCTTTTCTTCCAGCAGATACCCGATATTTCATTCCAACATAATCGCAATGGCAGACCACCTCCAAGCTTCTGTCTCTTCCCTCGGATCCTCCCTCCAACTCCTCGATTCCTCCATCTCCACCCTCGACTCCGGTATTAGCGACTTTCCCCGACTATGCAAGGTCTTGCAAACAACCCGAGTACGTACCCCATACCCTCCTGCTTAATATCAAAACCCCCAATCTAACCCCAACAGCACTTCGAACTCCTCCCCGAACCTACTCTGCGCGAAGCCCAACAATCCCTCCTCGATGAAATCACTCCCAGCATCGCCCACCTGCTCTCACTAGCGTCGAACCACGTGGAGAAGCTTTCGCGGCGAGAACAAGGACTGAGAGCAAAATGCGAGCTGCAAGAGGGAAGAATGTACTCAAATGAGAGCCGTCAGCCTTCGAGGATGCGTAGCGCTTATGGCGATCGACTCCAGAGCGGGGGCGCCTCTGGGAAGGCTGCGAAGGCGGCGGAGTTGAAACGACTGATGCAGAAGAAGGAACGGTTGCAGTATGCGGTGGAGAGGTTGGAGTTGCAGAGTACGCAGAGGGAGAGGCAGTTGAGGAAGAGTATGGCGTTTCACTAGAGCTCGGCTTGAAGGTTGGAAGTGATGCTTGCTGAGAGCTCTTCGACTAAGATGGGATCGTTTGAGCCACCTTGGGCAATCCTGCGAATGTAGGATATCAGATGACTGAGGATGGCTAAGGGGATATGGCTTGTGGCTACGATGTTATTTCTCAGAGTCAAGAGGGGGTACTTCTCGTCAGGGAGAGTATAGCCCCGATTCGGGATGTGCGGCCGCATATCGACTTATGGCCGTAGTCGAGTTATGACTATGCTCTACATGTCGACACTGCATACTGAAAGCGCAGAGCCGCTGTGAATGAAGGACCATCGGCGAAGCTATAGCCATCGCGCTCTCACCACTATGAGCGGAAGATGCCTGACTTGAAGGACAATGCTGGGAAGATTCAGTGTCCACGTGGAACGCTCAATCATAGAAGCCCCTGGGGCACTTGCAGAGGGATCTTATAGAGCTGCCCCTCCTGCTACACATGATGACCATGCACAAGATGAATAATGGAGATTGTGCCATTGAGTGAAGAAGTCTTTTACAACCAACAGCTATGGTCTATACTACATGTCATATATCGTACAGGAATATAATACAATGACCGTCCCCAACCCACAAATGATGCTCCTAGCCAGGAAGCAATCCAAACCCTCTATACGCCACTTTTGACTCCAATGTAGATACCCGAAAAGTAACAACCAAGCCCAGACCCAGTATGTAATTTTAGGCCGAAGGCTTCACCTGCTTCAAAGCCTGTCTGCGCTTCTTCTTCATCTGCTGCTTCTCCCAACTGGGTATCTTCTGGCCCTTCTTCTTAATCGGGGTCTGAAGATCAGGCATACTGCTGGTAGCCTCCATACCTTCCTCCAAAGCATCCTCTGCGTCTTCTTCCATCTCCTCCTTCTCAGCAGCCCGCCGGGCAAGTCGTTCCTTCCTACTCTCACCGTGCTTTTCGCCGAGTCTCAGCGATCTGGCAATACGAGTCTTCGCACCAAGAGCCCACAGGTCTCCCCACTGGGACTTGCGCGCATCCTTGTACGCTTGCCGACTGAACGACCGGGGGACGGTCCAGCGCTCGATCTTGCCGGCCGGCGTGCAAAGGTCGAAGATGACGTGACCGCGGCGCTTCATAGGTTGGTAGACGATACGGGGCAGGGAGAGGAAGTTAACGCCTCCTGTTTCCTGTTGCTCTGTAGGAGGTGTAGGTTGAGTCTCGGATGCGACAGCCTTGTCGGATGACGCTTCGGCTTCTTGCTTAGGCATCTCGACTGCGTCTTCGTATCCGTCAAAGGCTGCATCTGCGGCTTCGGTGCCCTGGATGATGCTGTCCTCGACACGACGATCAACACCGCGCTGGACGGCGATGTAACTGAATTTCAGGTCCTCGTGGTTGCGATCCTTGGCGCCGATGATGCGCTGGAGGAAGGCCGGGCGGATGTAGCGTTGTTGGAAGTGACAGTAATCTCTACGGCCCTTGGTATGACCGGGGATCTGGTACATGGGGCACTTGTTGTGGTTGGTGCAAGGGGCGACGATCATGCCGGCTTCTTTCTCGATGAAAGTGTCTTCTTCGGGCGATTCGGTCAAGTTTTCGTATGTGGTGGATCCGGGGCTGGAGATGAATCGCTTCAGGAGCATGTCACGCGCTCCCGCAACGGCTTCGAAGCCCTTCTGGTGTCCCTTCTCGAGGAGGATCAGAACACCTCCGTTGGGGTTCAGGAGGTTCCATAGGTTCTGTACATGTTCCTTCCGGAGGAACTCTTCCTCAATTCCGAGCAGGGAGTGTGGGGCGATGATGATGTCGTACTGTTTCCGCTTTGGCGGAGCCCGTTCATCTTGCAAGGTTGGCTTCTCGCGAACATGGACGTAGTCGGGTAGTCGTGGCAGAAAGCTGGTATCTTCGAGCATCGCACTGGCACGAAGACGAAGAGAGTCGGATCCAGTGACAACGGTCGACCGGCCCACGGGATAAGGGTCCTCTGAGCTGTTCTCTGGCATCATGGCTTCCCACTCCGCACGAAGGATGTCTCTCCACGCCAAGACACCTGCACCACCGGCACTAACGTCAAGGACATGGGGCCCGCCTTCCTGTGTCATCAGGTTCCGGATCCAGTCTGTACCCAAGCGTTTCCGGACTTCCACCAAAACACTCAGGACAGATGCATACATGCCGGGGTAGAGAGCGGCAAGAAAGACGTTGGCTTCCATTTCGCTCATGTACCGCTGGGATGCTTCTAGAGGAATCGGCTGTTGAGGAGCTTGCAGACGCAGGGGCGGCGTTGTAGTGGAATAAGGGAGGTACTGGCCACCAAGTGTGCGATGGGCGGTATCCGCAATGTGCTTGTTCGAAAAGTCCGACAGAATAACGGAGATAGGGCCCGTCACGCTATCCTTCGGTATGAATATAGTACTAGGATCGGTGGAAAACTTCCCCATTGTGGTCAAAGGATGGAATTTGGGAGCCGAGTCTGCTGCTGCTTCATCTTCGAACTGCTCGAGCATGATCTCTCCGCCCAGCTGCTCGGCGACTTCTCTCGTCCGTTGCATCGCGATCGTTTCCTCGACTGACGGTGGAGCTTCCATATCATAGACCAATGGAGGTTCGTCGTGTGTCGCAGACTCGTCCATTGCAACTTCTTCCCAGCCGCCCTCACCATCTTCACGGTATAGTTTATCCGGATCTATCTCCTCTTCCACTAGGTCCAACTCAGACTCTTGTGAAAGATAGATTGGTTCACCGTACAACCGAGTATACAACTGAGTCTCTCTATCATTTAAGAGGCCCTCCGGAAGGTATTCACCAAACTCCTGTCTTGCTTCTCGCACCCGCGCATCCAATGTTTCTTCGTCCCGGTGGCCGATCGTCTGACTCAATGCATAATCGAAATCGACACCTTCGAGGTTAAGGGCTTTCTCGTGATCGTCCAAAAGATCCAGCTCGTGCATGAGCTCGGCCATCTCCAGATCCGTTTCGTTGATCTTGTCGACTAAGGCGTAAATAGCATCTTTCTTCTCCGCATCGGGGTCGGTCTCCGTCGCTGTCGTGGACGACGCATGCCTTCGGCTGTGCACCCATAGTTGCGAGCGAACGTAGGTAGCTTCCCTGAGTAGGGATTCCAAATGTAAGGTCGATGGGAACGCTTTGCGGGCAATCGAGGTTCTGGGGCGCCCAGTTATGAAGCTCGCAGCTCCGCGGCGGAGAGGCTGCGAACCGGTCTGCGGCGACCTGGATACGGCCGGACGCAAAAGGGCATGGGGATGGGACCGGGTCGCCCTGACTGCCGGAGTTCGTGACAACATCCTCAACCCTTCCAAGGCTCGAGATGCAAGTATCAGGAGCTTGTACCTGAAAGAAATTGTCCTTGCCACTGGAGAGCTTTTGCTAGGAAAACTCGCGCCAAGCCGCATGCCCATCAGAAATTCCGCAGCTCCCATTGGCTGTTTAGGTAACAGAGCGTTACATAATCATCTAGACCTAATTGGTGCCTCAGGAATCACCAGGAATGAAGAGGCGCATGCATCAAAGATCAAAAGATGGGGGGAAATGTTGGATGCATTATAATAGACCTATTTACAAAGCTGGTTATACTAGCTCGACGTACTACTGAGACTCGCTGTCCGTGTCTTCGTTGCCCATGAGCACCTTGAGAGCTGATATCCACTTCAGCACTTCGTGCTCAAGAGCGGTTAGTTTGGCCATCACGGCCATAAGGCTAGGGTCCTGGCTCTCTACGCGGATCTTCTCCCTCACCTTGACTTCGTCCCCTTTCCAGGTGAAGACATCGCCTGCCTCGTCGTGAGGACGATGGCGGCTTCCAAACAACCGGTCCCGCAGGTTGAACCCGGTGAGAGAGATGTCAGTCGCGAATGCAGTTGGCGTATGGACGGGGGTGTTAGATTCTAGCGTCCTCAAATACAGGACTAAAGCCGAGTCCGCAATGGATAGATGGAATGATAAGTATGCCGGTAGCGGGGGGTCAAACATCTACGACTACAGCTTAGCCCATGATCTAGAACGAAGAGAGCAAATGTATAGCCACTTACCTCCTCTTGCGCACTTGTCTCCCACCACTTGCCTCTGACCTTATCACTCTCGCCCTTCAGCATCTGCCGTGCTTCACTGATCGTCTCGCGCAGGAGGTGCAGTTGGCTGTAGATGAAGCCCGCGTTGAGCGGGTCACCGGTCCAGGTGCTTACATCGACAATGTCGAGACTTTGATTGACCAAGTTTTTGACCGAGACTAGTTGACTTAGAATGAGTTCGGGTGTTGTAGGGGTATTTGCCAGGCACAAGCGGGTAGTGGCTGAACCCCGCGAGGCAAGGGAGCTAAGACGGAGTTGGATGTCCTATAGAGAGGTTTGATTAGCGTCATCCTGGAAGCGCTACGTTGTGATAAGCAACGGCCATAGCGCGCAAAGGATGCGGGTCCATATCACTGGGCTGCATCATAAGCAATAAATGTGAGTAGTGACAACATACGCCCTTCACAATCTTTGTCCCAACCCGAGTCACAAAGCCTTTCACATTTTCAGAGCGTAGAGAAGAGAGGACGAGTGTTGATCCCGGCTCTTTGGGTGCCAATAGAGCCGCGCATTCATGGAGGCCCTCTCGTAACGAGGTAAGGGAGTCTTGCAGCGAACGTAATAGCCATTCTAGCTCTTTGGCCTATACAGTTGCCAAAAAAGTTAGTACTGTCCTTGCCCTATCGATGATGCATGTGCGCCATCGGGTCGGCTCAAATTTGAGGTTCACCGGGGACGGAGAAATAAAACAGGGCATACCAACGCGGAGTCGACTTCCTGTTCTAGGCGCTCTGGGGGTAGAGGCGGGTAAGCCCAAGTAGCCATTGTGAGCAATGACCCAGCGGGTTAGTTGCGACCCTCTGGAGATCGGATGATTGTACCTTTGGCCCGACAGTGGTCAATGGATCGGTAGGGAGCGATGGGGGGTGTGGACAGGACACCGTAGGCAGCAGGGTTTGTCTTCAGGGTCTGGTGACGAAGTCGACAATAGAAAAATCCGCATTGGCTTTCGAGTGATCCACGTCGATCCGAGAGGAGGAAAGGCGGGTACCCAACTCAATGGATGGATGGTGGGTGGTGCAACGTTTGTTCAGAGGACGAAAGTTGCAGCGGAAGAGGGAGTTCGACAACGTCATGGATAAGGAATGATGGGCCTCAGCGCCCAGGCCTTCAGGCAGCCTTATCCTGATATGGGCTAGCGCAGCGCTAAGGTTTAGACTAGCCGAGGACAGTTAGCGGGGCCTGCTGCAACCATGACGTCGACGCCGTCATGGCTGGCCAGTTTGTGCCTCGTCGATCCAAAGAAAACATTGATTCGCAGTTACGCTCATTGTTGAAGGTCACCCTCATCATTATATCACTACTATGGCTCCCCTGGTACTTTATTTCCCCCCTCCTCCCACATCCCTCCACCGGCTTCTCCGGATATCCACTCCCTCGCAGACAGACCCTTTCGATCCTTCGTCTGTTTTTGTTTCTCTTCCCCATCTATAGGGTCTCGCATCTCTCTCTCGAATGATAGATAGATACCTGTCGCAATCAATAACTTAGGTTGTGCTGGGACTCTTCCAATCACCGACTCAATAGCGAACTCAGAAATCTTGACAAAATACCGTTACAATGGCTCTCAGCAGTGAGTACATCCCCTGCAGGATGAGTGCCTGCTGCGTCGCACAACAACTCAGCTGACACCAATTGTACTGTAGGAGTTGCAATGGGCTTCCTAGGCCTGTTCTTCACGGCCGGTGCTCTTCTGTTGATGTTCCTGACCTTGTTGGGCGGAGCGAGAAACTCGCGTCCTCTGAACGAAATCTTCTTCCTGCAGGTCGACACAAGCAATATTCCAGGTGCACCATCCTTATCTCGCTGGACTTTCTGGGAGATATGTGCAGTGTCGGCGAATGGAAAGAACCAATGCGGATCGTCTTACCCAGACTTCCCATTTGATCCCCCGAGCCGGCGCAACTTTGGCACGACTGAGAATATTCCCTCTGCTTTCATCGGGTAAGCAAGAAAGAAACTGCCAGATTATCCGTCGTACAATTGCAATCTAACATTCCACAGCACGAACCACTACTTCCTCACATCTCGGTTCTCGTTCCCCTTCCTTATCATCGCGCTCTTCTTCGGCGTGGTGTCGCTGTTCACTGGGTTCCTGGCCATGTGCACGCGCATTGGAAGCTATATCTCTTCGCTGATGGCTTGGATCGCCCTGATTTTCCAGATCATCACGACTTGCCTTATCACGTAAGTCTACCACAGAAATTGGATCGGAGCTTCACTAACAATCTCAAGTGCCGTCTACGTCCAAGGACGCAACAAGTTCAACGCCAATGGCCAGAGCGCCAGCGTGGGTGTCAAGGCTTTCGCTTTCATGTGGACCGCTGTGGCTTGCCTGCTGCTTGCATGCATGTTCTATTGCATGGGTGGTGCTGTCGGGCGCAAGGAGAGGGGATACAGTGGCCGTGAGCACCGTCGCCGGGGCTTCTTCTCGTCCGCACGCTCAAACAGCGTAAGAAGCAACAAGGAGACTGCGCCATAAATCCGACATGGTCTTCTTCCTTTGATATTATTCAGGAAGAATTGAAAAAAACTGGGCTATAGTACTTCGTCAATACCTACTATAGTACGCCGGCCTCCGCCAATTGTTTACCTATCGGCCGCAAGCCTTATACTCGCCCCGTCAACACCGAAGGGTGCGTCTACCGGAGTATGGATCTGATTGTTTATGACTTGTTCTTTGCGGGTTGAGTAACCACGCCCTCCTGTGCGAGCGAATCAAGTGGGCTCATCCGCGCATGCTAACATTAATGTCTCTTTGATGATGGATGTCTGTCTGTTTAACTCGGCCAAGTTTCATGTATTATACTGTCTTTGCTACTTTATATCTATCCGCCCTTAATTGTAATACAATTTATCTGAAAAGAATGAACTGATGCATGAAGACTAATAGAACATGACAATGTTCGTAAGGATTCCATCATTTCCAACCTAGTTAGTAGTCACTGAGAAATCAACTGTATGCATAATGTATAAAAATAGCTGATGATATTTCCTAGGCTCAATGCTGTGAAACGGATGGATTGTGACACCACTTCGTCCCTTGTTACTATTGCACTTATATTCTATCTACGATTATAACTGTGTGCTTGCGCTGTGCTACCTTCTTAGGGTCATAAGGAGGTGGAAGAATGTGCCCTACAGAAGCAGATAGTGAAATCCTACGGCACAACTTTGGACCCATACATTGTTACTTTCTGAATATGTTAGGAAAATGAGTCTGGAAACACATCGGCTTTCTATTGTGCTTCAAAACAGCTCTATATACTTTTAGAAGCCTTCATCGATACATCATCATCAATAAGTCATAGCAAGACAGAATGCAGAACGTATTCCCTGAGTCCTGCCCGGTGCACCCAATGGATGCAAAGTTAGTTGCAAAGAGGCCACAGGGGTCACAGGAGTCGTTCAACAATGGTTATAAAAATCTAGATCGATTCATAGAAGGAAAAGCATCGTTATAGTCTTGAGATGTTCAAAGATATATGAGCAAGAAAATTATACGTTAAAGGGAAATCTAGGCCTTGGGAGCCTCAACGGCACCGCGGACGGCACCTTGGCCGCCAACTTCCTTGGCCGTGATCTGCAGACCAAGGTCAGCGTTGACGTGGATCATCAGCTCAACCTTGCTGCCAGCCTTGACGCCCTTGACGGCCAGCTCAGCAATGGGCTTCTCGGTCTTCCAGACGAGCTCGCGGATCTCCTCCTCTTCCTCCTCATCGGAGTCGAAGTCAGAGTCATCCTCATCCTCTTCGGTCTTGGTCTTCTCCTCCTTGGGCTTGGGCTCGGGCTTGGTAACCTTGATCTCACGAACACCCTCGCAGACACGGACGAAGACATCGCCGCCCTCCTTGGGGACAGAGAACTGCGCAGTACGACGAGCGGGGAGAGCAGTCTCGGTGTTCAGAAGAGGCTTGAAGTCAACGGTCTCGCCAGAGGTGAACTCGACACCGATGGCATTCTGAAGGTGAGGGGTAGCGGTAACCATGGGGTGAATGGACTGCTCAATGTCCTCCTTGTCGAACTCCTGGATCAGGGAGGCCTGGATAGCGGCACCTCTGGGAGCGAGCTCGGAGGGGTTGATGGCACCAATGAAGGTGGAGGGAGCGAGGATGGTGGTCTTCTCGGGGAAGATGTTGCGGGCCAACTGGGCGATCTTGGGGGTGTGGGAAGTACCACCAGCGAAGATAACCTGCAAAAGTTAATATCGGGCTGCGAGCAAGATGAACAACGAAGGTTTAGATGGAACGAACCTCATCAATGTCCAGGACATCGAGACCAGCCTTCTTGACAACCTGCTCGATCAGGCCGGTGAACTGAGCGAACACCTTGCCGGACAGCAGCTCGTAGCGGGTACGGTTGACGGTAGAGCCGTAGTCAATGCCGTCAGCCAGAGACTCGATGCTCAGAGTAGCGTTGGTACCGAGACTGAGAGCCTTTCTGGTGGCCTCACCCTCCAGCTTCAGCTTGGCCAGACCACGAGCGTTCTCGCGGGGGTCGGTCTTGTGCTTCTTCATGAACTCCTTAGCGAAGTGGTCGATGATGATCTTGTCCAACTGAGCACCGCCCAGCTCGTAGTCGTGAGCAGTAGCAAGAGTGGTGTACATGCCACCACGGCAAGCAACGACGGCGGCATCGGAGCGAGTGCCACCAAGGTCGGCGACAACGACCAGCTTGTCGGTCACGACAGCCTCGGGACGAGCGTCGTAGGCAAGGACAGCAGCAACGGGCTCGTGGATGAGCTGCAGGACCTCAAGGCCAGCAGCGTTAGCAGCGGCGATCAAAGCCTCACGCTGAGCATCCTTGAAGTCGGTGGGGACGGTGATAACAGCGGCGTTGACCTCCTTTCCAAGGAAATCAGCGGCAGACTGCTTCAGACGGCGGAGATGGCGGGTTGTGATCTCGGAGACGGTGACAGTGTTGGGGGTCTCGCTGGAGGTATCGCAGATGGAGAAAGCAACGGTCGAGTCGCTCTGTTGAGGGTGGGCCGAGTTGTGGCAGGGAGTGGGGTCTATCGACTTGAAGCTGTGCATGTCCGTCAGCATGTGCGCCTAGTTGTCATCAGAACGAGTTGACATACTCCTTGCCAAGGAAATCTCTGAAGTAGGCAACGGTGTTCTTGGAGTTGCGGATAAGCTGGGCCTTAGCCTGAGTACCGTGGTATTCCTCGCCATCAATGTAGGAGAGGACGGTAGGGATTTGACGGTCTGGTGATGGGTAAGTCGATGCGTTCGAATAAAGACTTTGTCCAAAGCGCATTAAATTATACTAACCTCCCTCCTCGTTGGCAATAACCTCAGCCTTGCCTTCCTATAATCCAAGTCAAGTCAGCGGTCTGTCGCAACTTTGCACAGCGGTGGTGTAAAAGTCCCAATGGGGCGGGCATCCGCATGGGAAGGGTACAAAATTCACATACGGCGTTGATGCGGGCAATGGAGCTGGAGGAGTTGCCAAAGGAGATACCGATGGCGAATCTCTCAGCAGTGCCGTTAGTTTCGGAGCTCATCTTGACGGTAGGATGTGAAAAGAGATGAAGGGGATTGGGGGGAGGAGGGAAAAAGAAGAGGAGGAAATCAAGTCAAAGTAAGTCGGGCTGCTGCTTCTCGAACCGCCGCGCTTCGTTTTGCCCCGAAGGAAAAAAATTTTGGCTGGTTTGCAATTGGCGGGCAGATGTGGCTGAGGGCTTATCGATAGGATATGTGGCGGTGCAATTACAGTTCGGCAGTCCTGCAGCAGTAGCGTCAAGAATCTAATGGAATTGATCATTCTCCACATATATCAATTAATATGGAGAAACGAGGAGGTGAATGCTCAGACAATACAGTTTCACAGCAAGTATACCCTGTATGGTTCACTCTCAAACCATCGTGGCGCCCATCTCATCTTCAATCCAGAATGAGCTGTATCACGTGGCGATAAGCATCACCCGATAAGCCTTTGGATTTGCGCTTCTTTTTGCCCGTCGCGGTCAACCACTCCAGCATTCGTGATTCTCCAACACCACTGCAGGCCCCAGTGGGACAAACACATTTCCAACATGTCGTCTCCCCTGATTCTTCTCCCCGGGGATGAGATCCCGTCAGAATACCTCCCATCCACCAATTCCGCGCCATTGAGACTTGGCCCCGGTCTCCGTCTACTTTCGCAACCGCCCTCCTCTTCCCCTCAAGCATCATCCTCCCCCAGCCATGTCCTCACAGCCACACAAGCCGGCATTCTCTCCACAGACACCAAACGGAACGCTGTTTCTATCCTCTCGACTCCGAATCGCCGTTACATCCCTACCGTTAATGACCTGGTTATCGCGCAGGTCCACCACTCTAGCGTGGATTACTTTCACTGCATGATCACCCCGCAAGCGCCCCATGCGGTACTGGGACAACTATCTTTCGAAGGTGCGACGAAGAAGACCCGGCCGATGCTGAAACAAGGCGATCTGGTTTACGCGCGTGTGCTCTCGGTGGGTCTGGGCGCGGGCGCGGAGGTTGAGCTGGCCTGTGTGAATCCTGCAACGGGCAAGGCTGAACCTGGAGGACTCGGTCAATTGAATGGGGGAATGGTGTTCGATATCTCTACTGGCATGGCTGCTAGGTTGATGAGGGCGAGCTCATCCTCTTCAGACTCTCAGGATGGTGTGGCAGGGTTGGTGGTGTTGGAGGAACTGGGCAAGAAGCTGGAGAAATCGGGCGGCTTTGAGATCGCCGTGGGAAGGAACGGCAAAGTTTGGGTCGACTGTTCTAGCGGAGGCGAAACTTCTGTTAAGGCGACGGTAGCTGTGGGACGGTGTCTGACTACGATCGATGAGCACGATTTGAATCCGGCGGATCAGAAGAAGTTGGTGTCGAGGATATTGCGGGAGATGAAGATTGAGGTATAGATGTGCTTTGTCTCTTAATGATTGATCGTGTGATAATACCATGCATTGTTTGATGATCTTTTCGAGCGATAATATGTAGCAGAAGTGTGGGTACTCGATGTACATACATTGGTGTATTGTTCTGGGTCTGGATTAAGCAGTAGAAACTTGTGACTAGAAGGGCAACTCTTCGGATGGGAGTTGGATGGAGTTTCTTCGAAAGTGAGAGTCTCTTAGGAGCATATACTAAAGTGCTCACAACACCACTTTTATGTCTATGCATCGCTCCGGGTTTGCTGTGTCTGTGCTTGACGGCCCTTTCTTTGATTTTTAGCTACTATGATAGATGCGATTGTCAGTGTTATTCAAGAAAAGAAATTCCCAGAATGCCTTATAGCAGTTAAGCATGCGGAGTATCCATCCCTTATAGCTAAGAATACAAATGGGAGATTGTCGCTTGAAACACAGTGCTCCATCCTGTCGTCACAATCTCTCGACACTGCAGAGATATAGAGAAGGCAAACCCCCAAAATATAGGCATTGCATATGAAATTTTGAACTGGCCTTCTTTCATACTGTTGAGAGAAATATAAGGACTAGAAGCGTTCGATCAGTCAAAGCATAAAGCAAACATTTTGATAAACTAGCCATGCATGGAGCTGCCAAATAGCCCTCACCAACAGTATATGTGCGGGCAATTCTAATATATAGATATATTCCATGTAATATGTCTCTTCAATGTGCGTCAGGATATACGCACTTTTCGAGATTATTGCTCTCAGAATTGTTGTCGTAATTTTCGGAGGGAATTTGGGAATTTGGCCACTATTGTCACGTATGATAATTGGTGTAACAAAGCGTTTTCTTTGGCTCTGTTGTCCAATTCTCCTTGTAGTGTTATTGACACTTGGTTACTTGAATAGCCATTCTAATTTGCAAATATTTATTGCATATGAGTATCTTAGTACTGTGCTATTACTATTTGCATCAGACACTGCATGATTCATTATGGAAATCTTCAGCTATTCAAGTACTACTAGTAGTACAATAGTTTTTTCCCAAGTCAAACACAATGGAGGAGGCGGCTTGGTTCCAGAAGCCAAAGAATATGGCAATATCAAGTATCTAGGGCAAGTCCGGAATGCTATGATCGACACTAAGATCCTGTCGGGCCCCACAAATGGCTTTCCCCCACCCTGTCTAAAGAGGTCCCACGGCCCGGATACAACCCCAAAGCATTCTAATACTACATAGCAGGCGTCAGCTACAGAGTTCATAGGAAGGACTACACCTTTTGTAAGAAGCATACTTCGAAATGAGTATGTCAATACGATCTACTTGAACAAACCTTCTAGTTTCAGTTTTCATGCCCCAACTATCAGGTCATGGAAGACCTGTCCGTCTACGAGCAGAATAATCTCCTCTACTCACAGGAAAAGCTATTAAAGTACCGCCCAGGTGGATATCATCCAGTCTCCCTGGGAGATACCTTCAAGGATGGTCGCTACGAGATCCACCATAAACTAGGTTGGGGAGGGTTTTCCACCGTGTGGCTTGCGTACGATAAAGAGTGAGTTTGTTACCAACTGTAACTTCTACATGTCTCTACTATAAGTAACGGGTTATCAGGAAAAGCCAATGGGTCTCAGTGAAGATCATGAGAGCAGATACCTCCCAGGGCTCTCGAGAACTTTACAATCTACAATTATTAGCAGACCGTTCGCAGGGAAATCCGTCTGCAAAATACATTGTTTCCGTTCTCGACTCCTTTACCCATCAGGGCCCTAATGGAACCCACTTATGTATTGTATTCGAGTTGCTAGGCCCTCCTGTCAGTAAGGTTATTGATGATTATCACTCTTTTGGGGATGACCTCGAGATGGATATTATTCTTCGGATGTCGGAGCAGCTTCTAGAAGCTATCAGTTTGATTCATGAAGCTGGCATGGGACATGGAGGTAATCCACCTGTAAAGGTCTCGGCCCCCCCACATCAAAGTGCTGACCATGTGATAGATATAAGCGGCGGAAACATCGCGTTCAGCTGTACCAATCTCTCGCACGCCACGAAAGAAGAGCTCTTCGCAATTCTCGGATTTCCAGAAGTGGAAGAACTAGCTCGACTCGACGGCAAGCCACTAGACAACAGCCTGCCAAAACAACTAGTAAAATCCGCAGAATGGGAAACCTGGGTAGACGAAGATGAAGAAGATATTCGGATTCTCGATTTCGGGGAAGCGTTCCTGCAGGGGAACGAGCCTAAAGTACTTGCTCAGCCAGGGCAATTGCGGGTCCCTGAGCTGATTTTCACCAATTCCTTTGACTATCGTGTTGATTTATGGCGCGCTGGCTGTATGGTAAATACAATGCTCCTGTTCTTTTGCAAGAAATATAATTCTGACATTATGACGAGATCCATGCATTCATAATTGGGTCATATCCATTCTACTACCTAGGCGAAGATGAAGTCCTGGTCCTACAGATGATCGGTTTTGTGGAGGAGTTGCCGAAGGAATGGCAGCCGATATGGGAACGCATGAAACTAAACTTCAAGCGTGACTTAGGCTGGTTAGAAGGTGAGTGAAAAGCCATTCTGCGTACCTGATACACGTATGTTCGCTAAGTGAATCGGAAGACGACCAGGTATCTGAATTAGACAGAAGGCTCAGTAGAAGGGAGCCGGACCCGATACGTAACCGTCTTGCTTCGGTCATTCGGAAATTGATGAGATTTGTACCGTCGAGTCGAATAGAGGCCTCCGAGGCACTTGCTCTCTTGAGGCCAGATCAGGATGCAGATTATAATTCTTGAGCAAATACATTTTCTTTACATAAGACTAGTCAATAGAATGAAGCATAGGAATAAATCAATCAATCAATCATAGACAGCATTAGTTCGTTCTCCATGCCCATCGAAGGCCTCGCAAACGGACATCAAGACTTTGACCCAAACCCTTCGAATTCGGCTAGGCCTTTCACTGGGGTTGCAGCCGGCGAAAGTGGCAGACTTGCCTTCCATTTCCTGACATTATCAACCGGAATAGTGGCGGGGGACACTGGACGCTTATGTTCAATGACTGCTGCATCGTCCTGATTTCTCCTTAACGCTGAAGCGTCAACATTTTCTTCACCAGCAGCACTGTATCCTACAGCAGCAGAATATCCATTAGATGCCTGCGCAATAAGATGTATCGATAGTTTCGCCCTAGTTGAAGAAGAGGGATAAATGAACTGGTTAAAGAACTCGAGTATGTTCTTCTTTGTAAGGGGTTCAACGTGTTCAACCTCTTGATATACTGGACATTTGGTCCATCCATTTAGTCAGTTTACACGGGCAATTATTGAACAAGTAAAATAAGTGCCAAACATACCCTGCTAAAAGTCAAGCACCTCACTCATAATATGAGCCCAAAAGCGAGACATTTCTTGGTTCAGATTCTTCAATTTCTCCAGAAGTCTGTTGATCAACGCGATCTTGTGCTCTTTAAACATTTCGTCGGTCATTGCACGCAACTAATGCGCAAAGGTTTCCAAAAACGCATCACAGCGCTCTTCGAGATACATGCAACCCCTCTCACTCTGCACGAGAACGCGTCAGGTACCAGTCGTCACGTAGACCCTATGGCCGAATCAATGATGTATCCGAGCTGCTCTTTTGTGCGCAGCGTGCTGAAGCATGATCCTGCGACAGCCTGGGATAAAAGTAGCAACTTGGTTCGTTGCGAACGATCCGAGACAGAGCCGACTGCGATGATATACTCGAGACAATGGTTGATGTTATCTGGGTTCTTCAATACTCGCTCGTACAGGTACTTTGCTCCGCTGGGTAGCGCAATCGTGCGGCGTGATGGCCATTGGCTTTTTGGATATTGACGTGGGCGGAGTGTTTGATTCCACAAGATTTGTTAAACTTAGTGCATCTTCTTTGTTCAGATTGCCATGAACGAGGATCTTGATGTGCTTTTGTTGCAGCATTTGGGGAAAGAACGAGCGTATATCCTCAGCTGTCACTGCTGGAAGCTCCTCGAGTAGTTGGGAAGGAGCCCAGGATCTTTCGTTGATCAACAGGCGCGAGAAGGTATTGATCTGTCGATACGGCTCCATGTAGTCGAAACTCTTATATGCTTTCCACACCCTCTCCTTGGCCACGTCGAATTGCTCTCGCTTGATTTCCAAATCTCTTACTGCCAGTAATACTTTCTCCAAAAGCACTGACATCTTGTCGTTGAAACTCTTAAGCTCTATAATTAGTCCCTGTGCGTTTTCTGACAAATTGTAGCTCAAACCGGCCTTATCCGCGTTATAGGCGTATTCATCAAGGCTGTCTTCGACCAAATCAACGTATAAACGCGTCATGACAGCATACATCGGTGTGAGTGAGACCATGGGGGACCGAAGAAGAATCTTTATACTGGCTGTGGGCAACTAAATTGGTCATCTTTTTCCTTTGAACCACACACGGACATGGTCGTCATGACGGATTAGCGTAGGTTGACGAGCTAGTTCTGCGAAATCCATTCGTTTAACATCTAATCGTTGCGGAATCAAGTCGTTCAGAGGTGGTAAGTGAAGTCTGAGGGATCGCTCTGTATTTGGAGACTGTCCAATTTCCCAAAGCTCTTGCACCAAATCCCTGGGAATCTTTTCGAGCTATCACGTAGGAGTCCATACACAAATTCACATCACAATATGGACAAACATGTTACCACAGTTCAAAGATAAGATCTCTAGAAAGTTGCTCCCCTTAAATCTGCGACCTAATGAAAAACAACATCATGGGTTCGATATTGGGGATCCGGTAGGTTTCAATCCAGCAATGAACACACAGGCGTGTGCGTAAGAAGCCCCTTCTTGCACCGTCTATTCGACCAAAGCCAGCCAGACGCTAAACTCAATAAAATCTATCATACATCATATGCTGTGGGTCGAATGTAATATACTGCGTAATTATTCCCTGTATTCTATGCTACCAGGTTATGATCCTGGCTGAGAATCCTTCCGTCGGTGGGCCGTCGGAGACCCAAACCCCTTTCTCCGGACCTATCTCTCCCTATCGATGGTGGAAGTGAACGGTAAGAGTGAACGGTAAGAAGCGGAGAGGTTGCAGTGGAGTGTAAGAAAGTACTACAGATCAACGAAGGATCAAGCTCTCGCCCGTGTTACTGGTCCCTGTCAGCGATTGACGTGGAGATAACGGAGGGGGTTTACCCGGTCTGTTCCCACTATGTACATGTGTCTAGACGCGTATACTATTCGACTTTGGGTCCGGCAGCGGATGTACACTTTGTAATGACAAACAGTATGACGGAATCAAAGCCGCTGTGATGTGCTCTCAATCTGTAATGGCAGGTGATATTGTCGTTTGCTGTGGCTCTATATGAAAATACTGTCTAATTCTTGGAGGCGTTGAGGTATCTTGTCTTTTAATGAGTTTTCTCTGTGCTCATTCTATACTACGTATAATAATGTGAATAGAGCAAAGGGCGGTCAAATATTCAAATTGCATAAGAACATATACTTTGCTAATATTTGAAGGATTTTGAGTGCAAATTGATTGTCTTCGCAGGCCTGAATTCGCAGATTGATCTATACCCACATGTGAGCGTACATGAGACCTCAGCAGAGACAAAAAGAGCCCAGAAAAGAAAGAGCAGAAGAAGTATCATAATGGTAGTATAGCACTGAACTATGCCGTTGCCAACAGGCAGTTACGAGGAAGCCGTAATATCTGGTTACATGAGACAAGCTATTCACTACAGGGCAAAGAATACTCAACTAATCGCACAGATATTGTATTGTCCTCCCAACAAACAAGGAAGGCTAGCCAGTATTCAAACATAACAAAGGAATGGCACATAGATCCGGCCAGCGCTTTCTCGCTAGCATCCTTCCTTCCTCCAATCCCGAATAAGATGACACAGCTTAGTGCTTCTCCTCCATATTGGCAATGTTGGATCTGGTCGAGTTGAACTGAGCCCGGAGCAAGTTGAGCTTCAAGGGCTCTTCTTCTTCGGCCGTGTCGGCGGTTTCAGCAGCGGCGGACACCTCGGGCTTGGACAGGCTCTGGATTTCCTGCATGGCCTTCCAGGGCTGGGCTCTCTCCTGGGGCGTGGTAGAGGATGATTGAGGCTTGAATCAAGTTTATTAGGTAAGTGCTGTGTGATTGCAGCTGTGAAGGTTAGTCTTACCATCTTGAAAAGTGCTTGTCTGGGAAGTTCGAATGGTAATGTATGAAGATGTTCTTGTCTGAGACTGGACTGATAATATTTGTAGACGTTGGGCGATGGTGAAAGGGGCTTATATAGCATATTCGACAGGGGTATCCCAGTTAGATCCATGATCGACCCTGTTATCCCCAACCATACATATCTCTGCTTGTGCATGAGCCCGTGAAAGCACGCGAGTATGCAGAAACCCTGAGGCGGACGCAGTGATACATTGTCCTCACCCTGATAAGCCATGCAGTATGTGATGAAGCTATCTACGGAGTTTGATCGTCTAGATCTCCCCTCCCTTCGCGTCTCAACCCCGTCCGAGAGCTTGCTTGTAGCCTTCCCCTGGATGTCCATAGTTCCAGGATGATTCGTTCAATCGTCTGTGCATGCTTCATCAAGCGTGTTTCAATTGCTCGTATCTTCTGCTGTATCTGGGACCCCATAACCTTCTTCGCACGGTGATATGCTTACATGAATGCCTCACTTTATTGCGGATCTCAGAGCTGATTATCCAGAAGGATCAAACTATTCAAACTCCTCGAAGCTGTGCAAAACACCATGATCCTTGGTATCATGCACCTACAAGATGGCATCATTACATAGCATCTAAGATGGAGGGAATTTTGTTTTCACAGAATATTCCTCTTGCATCTCAACAAGGAGCCCAGATATGTTGATGCTTGATAGTTACCCACTCCGGATAAGCACTTGGCATCCGCAGGACAAGCACCCCAAGACATATGCCAAGCATCCTCGGCTGGACCAGCATCTCTGCACGCCAAGGCTGTGGCGCAACTGATCTGTATTGACCCTGACGACTTGTGTTACCCAGTAAGTAGATATGGAGGGTACAGAGAAGCTATTGTTACACATAGGTCAGAAATCACCGTAGTAAGCGTACATATTCCAGTCAATTGTGCTTCCAAGCAAAAGAAACTATCATCAAGTGTACGAACTTCAATCTGATCCAGAGCGGACCGCGTCTGTAACCGGCTTAAGATGACAAGATGGGATTACGTCAATGAGAATACTCGAATATACTATGACGAGAACCACAAATGGTATTACTGTCATGTGTTGCAGGTTAACGAGGTGATTGCCTTTGTGCAGGCGAACCCTCGGGCTGAGAACAGTGCAAGTATGATCTTCTTCTATCATTATGCACTAATACGGAGTTGTTGCTGTAGAAGATATTGATACTGCGTATGTAGGGGTCCCTCATACGGCGTTTAAGGATCCTCGGAACAGTGACAGTACGCAGTTGCGGGAGAGTATTGGGGCGAGGGTATTTGTTTATTTCGATTAACTAATCTCAATATAATATCTGATGAGAATGGAGTATATACAACAAGTACTATGGACAAACAAATGCCAATCAGGATCCAATGTGTTTCTACCGACCCTCCCTCCCAAACCGCTCCTTACTTCTAAACCAATCCCCATAGACCATCAAGGCCCCCAACGGCGGAATAAAAGCCGCCGCAATAAAAGCAAGCACCGTATTCCCCCACCCCTGACCAATACTATCATACAAAGCCGGGCCGATCAAGGGCAAGAACGCCCCCGCGATAGCCCGGAATATAACCCCAGCCGCAATAGCAGAAGCGCCATGAATTTCATACGTATCCACGACATAAGTCTCAGCCGGAATGGCAGAAAGCGTCATGCTGAAGCCAGCCAGACAAGCCCCAATAAGCGGCACAATAAACTGGACATGGTAATTCAACGTCCATCCGTAGATGATGAATCCCACAGGGAGGATAACAGCAGCGAGGAGTAGATGCACTAGCCGCGACTCAGGCTTGAATGCGTCGCCTTTTGTTTCTTTTTGATGGATGACGTAGCGGTCGGAGGTGAAGCTGTAGAAGATCAGAGCGACGGTGTTTCCGATAGCCAGGCTGAGGAATGTGAGCCCGATGGAGCCGCTGGTGAAGGTGCCGGGGTAGGTCGATTCCATGGATTCTGTGAGAGTTGCCATGATCAGTGACACCAGGGCGTAGGTCGTAGACATGTATGCCGTTGTCATGATGAGAATAGGAGATCGGAAGAGAATCTGCATTGGCTTGATAGCGCTGTCCAGCATAGTAGATGCATCGATCCGAGCTTGATGCTTAGATTGATACTTCAAGTTGATGTTGTCGTCTGCGCCCGCATGCTCACTCTGTAACCGCTCCGCCTTCCTTCTCAGCAGAACAACCGTGTACGTTTCTCTCAGCACAAACAGTAACAGCAAGCTAAAAAATCCCAGGACAATCGCCGCCAGCCAAATGGACCATCGCCAGCCCAGGTCCTCAGCGATATACGCGCCCGCGATAGGGGAGATGAAATCCGCGATCATCTGAGTGCCCATGACGATTGCCATGGAGCGCCCGGTTTGTTCCATCTTGAACAAGTCGCCGACGATAGCTGGGCCTAGGGTAAGAATTGACAAGAAGCAACCCGTTAGAAACCGGAAGGCGATCAGCATGGAGATGTTGGTGCTGAGCGCGCTAGCAACCAAGCAGAGCAGCGCGAGAAAATTCCCTATATGGAAGACAGGAAGTCGACCGAATCTTTCGGATAGCGGCGCGATGAAGAATGGCCCGATTCCTTCGCCGAGCTCCCAGATCGTTACTAGGAGAGTCTGATCGACTTTGCTGTGCGAGTGGAATTCGTCGAGAATTTCAGGTGCTGTGGGTACGATTGTCATTGTTGAGAAGACACTAGATAATTATGGTCAGTTCAATGAAAATAGTAGTAGACTGGCGAGAAATAGATAAGATCTCACCTGACAAAACCCATCCATGAAACAACAACCACAATCAGCCATTTGTGCATTGGCGACCAATTCAACGGGTTTTCCGGGTCATCTTCGTCAAAGTCCACAAGGACGACATCTGGATCGCTATCTTCGCTGGCTTCGGCATTTTCCAATGGCCGTTCGTCGGCAATATTCCCCTTCTCGTTGTCCACCGCAGTCAGGGGTTGCTCTTTGTGTGACGAACTGTGCGGCTCGAATGAGGATAGGATGGGGACCGGGTGGTTGATGGCCTCATCGATGAAAGACATCACTGCCGAGCGGACGGCATGCGCAAATAGGTTCTAATCTGCTACTGAGACAGCAGGTAGGAAAAGGCGCATAGCGACAATATTAGGGCCGACATAGTTCATCACGTGGAGAGACTAATGCGCAACCCATATCCGGGAATAAGGCGTAGGGAGGCCTAGAATTAGCCTTAAGCATTTATTAATTAAACGCATGGGCAGACGTAGTCTAGTCCCCTGAGAGTTTCCATAATATTACACGTTAGTTAACTCGGTGGCGGATTTCAAAGTAAACATGTTTGCCCAATAGGGAATTACTTTTAGTTCTTATCAACAAAGCATGTGATTAGTCTAACTTACTACTCCACTATTCCCCCCACGCTGTATAAGGCTAAACGGCACGCTCCACTTCGAGTGGCCTTATGCAAGATACCAACATCCTGGCGGAAATTTTACTAACAACAATCTAGGCACCTTGGAGATGAGGGCTACTTGGTAGGCCTTCCATGGGGTTTCCCAAAAGGACAGAAGTGAGTTTGGATTGCTGAGCCTTGCGCTGAAGATTTCTACTACAATAGTCGTCATCTGCGCAAGTTCAAGGGGTTCAATGTACAGCGTCATAGCCTGCATGTATACAATCTCGGTCGTCGAAGCGACTAGACAAGATCTGCCAAGAATGGGAAAGCTACTGACTATGAACTGGCTATAGATGAATAAATCCTCAATCCAAATGCTCACGCTTCTCACCCAAGCCTACCATTGCTGATCAATCAATCTGGATGGTTCTAGATATCGGACCTGCTCTGCCAACCCATGGGGTAACCCAGAGTGTTTTGGTACTGGGTTTGCCTTTTCTTGAGTACAAGCATCATATTTGGGTTTCTAGAATCCAGAGGTATTGGAATTAATATAGCCGGACTGTTTCCGAGGCGAGGCTTCACAACCAATAAATATAGAAATGCGTCGAGAAGAGAGTTTCGAATGGCGTAGAAGTTATCATATAGAGCCAGATAAGTGAGAGCTGGGGAGACAGAAGGGATGAACTCGCGGAAGGATAACCGACTATTCGTACAGCCAGGTCATTTCCCAAAAGGAAGGCCCCGCCAGCAGTACTGCCTTTATTTAAATCAAATGAAGCAACCATTTGCAGAATGACGAGAAACCCTATAAAGCGAACAATCTATTTCCCACTGAAGACCAAACTGATCTATGTATACACGCTATAATTAAAACGAAACCCGCTAAAGCTCATCCTTATCCCAGCCAGAAGAAGTCTCACCCTCTTCATCGTCAGGGTACGATTCATTGTTTCTTTTTTCCTCCGCCTGCTGCGCTTCAGCAGCAACTCTCTTCGACAAGGCCGCAATCTCATCGTCATACTCAGTCCACTCAGGTACCTGCCTCCTGGCACGATCCAACTTCGGCTCCTTCGTCATAGGGTTATTGCACAGGTCAATTGTACGAGCCTGCGACTGCGACTCATCCGAGCACCAAGTCTCACACCACAGCCACTCCTGCGGCAGACTCTTGATCGGGATGTGATGTTGCATGTGGTTCGGCAGATCCTGGTCCAGGTTGCTCAGACTCTCCGGATCAGCTGACAGCATCTGGTACTGTCCACGGAGGCGATCACCGGCGGCGATGGCACGGAAGCGGTTCAGGTCGACAACGTAAAGCGCGGAGATGTGGTAGGGCTGGCCGCGGAGGAAGTTCTTCCAGTACCCCTGCTTCCAGAAGCGGAAGCCTTCCATCTCGTGGCGGGAGTCGCACATGGGGGTAAAGCCGTAAGGAGCACCTTCGAGGTCGAGGCTGACGAGGTCGTACATGTCTGTGCGGACTATCTGGTCGGCATCAACGAAGATGACTTTGTCGAGGTCGAGAGGGAAGAGAACGTCCAGAAAGAGAATCTTGTAGCCCCAAATTTCACGCTGCTTTTCTTTCTGGGCCCGGAGCCAGTGTGGCCATTTGTACGTGACCATTTCGTATGAGAAGTTATACTCCTTCGCAAGGTGGGGCAGGAAGGACTTGAAGGAAGGAGAGAGGAATTGTTCGATGAACCAGAATTTCACGCTGTGGTTGGTGTTGCGCATCACTGAGAC